TCCCGCCATGCGACTGGCCACCCCCAGTCTGCACCTCCCCCGCCCTGGCCCCGCTGTGCACTGCTAGGGGATAGCAAACTGGGGGGGGAGCTGTTCTGCTTCCCACTCCCATCCTGCTCGCGTCCCGGTGCCAAGAGGCGCAGGATCCGTGTGGGCATGCAGAGCGAGCAGCGCACGGAGCAGGGCCTGGGTGCGGCACTGGCAGCTCTCCCAGCCCTATGACCCAAGGAGTAGTTACATTGCAGCACAGCCACCTGTGCAGCTGCCTATTTGAATAGCTTACAGATAAGTGGGAGGGAAACCACTGCAGCCCGCAAAGCAGTAGAAAAACCATCCAAGCCAGTTGGAAACCGGCTAGGGAGCAACCCTATTACATATATATCATTACTTATGGATGCCAATGCTTTGAAAGCACCTTCCATCTGAAGAACTCAAAGTACTTCCCAAACAGTGAGTAAGCCTCACACTAACCCTGGGTGGTAATTATACATCATTATCCCAATTTACTGATGGGGAAATAGAAGCATAGAGATTAAGGGTGGGATTCACAAAGGTACGTAGGTGTTGCACTTAAAGGATCATAGTGCCTAGAAGGTCAAAGGAACAATACTGCAGTCCATCAAGAACACTTTGGTGCCTAAGCTCCTGATACTACAAATAGGGAGAAATAGCTACCTAAAGATGCAATTCATAAAGCTAGCTTGCTAGTTGGGGAGCTGCTAAACAAGCCAATAGGAGATGCCAATATGAATGGTGTAGGTAGGAGATAGATGGCTATATAAGAGATGGCTCCCTCTAATTAGCAATACATACTAGGAAACAGTCACCTGGGGTCAGGCATCTCTTGTGGGACTAAGCTAGACACCTGCCTTCCTGCACACACTACAGCCAGAAGAGGAGATGGGACTGCTTATAACCCACCCTAGAACTTTTGAGTGCAATAGTTGGAGCACTCACCTAGAATGAGGGGCTGAGTGGTACTGTGTACTTTTCTACAGCCCCAGAAAGCGGGCCACCTCTGACCATGACCATTTGTGTCAAAGGCCCTTGACCAAGCAATGCACCCATCCTTAAATAATTCCCCTCACCTAACCCATTCATAAGCAGTTCAGACTAGGGATGCAAATGCAGGCATTCGAAATTGTTAATGAAGCAGGGATTTAAATATCCCATGCTTCATTAGCAAGATCTTGCCGGCACACTAGTTTGAATCACAGCTGAGTTGAACCAGGAAGTGTGTGCTGGGACGCATTAGTTCGAACCAAACCCCTCGAACTAATGTTACTTCCTGGTTGGAATCCTGCTTCATTAGCAATCCCTGCTTCATTAGCAATTTCAAGTGCCTGCATTTGTATCCCTAGTCCAAACTAGGGTGCAAGTGTAGACATAACCTAGCAGATTTCATGAAGTATTGCCTTCCTCACATCTCTGTCAAGAGCAGTTGTTATAGGCTGGTCTATTCTCTAATTAGGAGAAAGTACAGAAATTGCAGTAGTTACCTCTCTGACAGGATACAAACTGGTATAAGAACTAAATCAGTACAAAAACAAATGTAAGCCTTATCTACACTAGAAAATTAGGTCAGCAGAACTGTGTCATATAAGAGTGTGAAAAAACACATGCCTGAACAGCATAATTGAATTGACTTTAATCCTGTAAAAAGCACTATGTGAATAGAAAAATTCTGTTGTTAACCTAGCTAACACCTCTTAGGGAGATGGATTACCTATGCCAATGGGAGAATCCTCTTGTTGGTATAGGTAGTGCTGTAGTACTTTAGCTTTATTTTTCTTTTAACCATTTCTGACTTTACTGCCTCATTACTTGTTCTCATTGAAATCCAGCTCTTTATAGTTAAGTACATTTGTTTTATTCTTTAATTACAATGAATCCAGTGTTGTGAATTATTTGGATTCATTTAAAGTAGCAATGTTATGTACTTGCCCTTTAGAGCACCAACAAAAGCTAGTATATCTGGATTGTCCAGGCGAGGATTGGACATTACAAAACAAACATTTTTCCGGAGTAAATTTCAGAACAGGGAGTGTGTTGGGATCATTTTGCAAATAGAAGCTAATGCTGCTGCAAGACAGAGTGTGTCTGCTGACAGGCTGCTGGGGACGGAGTTGCTGGGTGAAGGCTGTGGCTTTTGGATGAGAAACTATGGTCTGTGGGCCACATCTGGCCCATCAGCCATTTTAATTCGGCCCTCAAGCTCCTGCTGGGAATCGGGGTCTGGATCTTGTCCTTCTCCGCACATGCCATGGCCCTGCATGGCTCCCAGAAGCAGCAGCATGCCCCCCCTTCACCTCTTACACATAAGGGCAACCAGAGAGCTCCATGTGCTGCTCCTACCCCAACTGCTGCCCCCAGAGCTCCCATTGGCTGGGGACTGCAGCCAATGGGAGCTGCTAGCATCTGCAGACAGGACAGTGCAGAGGCACACCTCACGTCTCCACATAGAAGCTGGCTGGAGGGGGGACATGGCAGCTGTTTTCAGAGGTAAATGCAGCCTATAGCCTGCACTTCTAAGGCTCCCCCCATACCTCAACCCCTAGCCCTGATTCCCTCCAAACCCTTCAATCCCATCCAGAGCATCCTCCTGCACCACAAACGCTTCATCTCCAGCCCCACCCCACACCTGCTCCCCCAGCCGGAGTCCTCACTCCCTCCCACACCCCAACCCCAATTCTGAGCATTCATAGTCCACCATACAATTTCCATAACCTGATGTGGCCCTCGGGCCAAAAAGTTTGCCCACCCCTATTTTAGTCAGACGGTATGTCCTGCGTACTGACAAGTGATTGTGAGCAAATCAAATTGTAGGTTATTGCAATGTAGCATTGCGAAGCACCCAAGGGGTAAGGCCTCTGGCAAAAGGGGTACTCTCCCACCACGGGCCCTTAGAGTCATCCAGAGCCCACAGCGTGGCGTTCCTGTAGCAATTCTAAAGGGCCCAGGGCTCCAAATCACCAGGCTCCAGGACAACTGTCCCTTTCGTGCCCTCTGTTCCCTGACGGTGGGTCAGTCTGGATGTGTCTGATTGGAGCTGTCCATCCAGGCATAAGATCTCAGAGCTGTTAGCCTCTGCAGTATGAGAGGGTGTAAAAAAATACAAATGTATTTTGGTTACTGAAGTTAGCAGACTGTCCATAGTGAAAGCTGCATTTTTGTTGTGCAAGGTACTGCCTTTCTTTGTTTTAGAGAGAACTTCTGAGACTACTACACCTAGTATAATGTGTTCAGTTCTGGGCTACTGAGCATCAGAAACACTTAAGCAAATTATAATGAGTTCAGCAAAGAACAATTGGGGAACTGAAAAGATTGACTTCAAGGAGAAGTTAGAGTTATAAATGTTGACTAATAGGGTGGACATAATAGCTATCTATAATCGATGACAGTAAAAATTCAGTAAGAGGAAGTGTTTAAGGCAAGAAACAAATATACCTAAAGATAATTAAAGGAATTTACAAAAATAAAAATTAGCTGAATATTAAGAAAAACTTCCTGACTGAGAGATGTTTTACTGTGGAATAGTCTCCCAAAGATTGAACAAAACAACAGAGGATACAGAGTAGAGAACAGTCATCTATTAACAGGTGGATGGATTAATTTAACCTAATACAGTAAAACCTGTGTTATCTGGCACACTTGGAGATTAGGGCGTTCCGGTAATCTAAAAATTCCAGTTATCTGAGGGTCCCATCAACCTAGGAAAAACCAATGGACAATAATAGTAACACTCAATTTTTTTATATCTACCAATGTAAACTATATTGTAATCAACATAAACACAATGCTAAGGATGTATGGGACAATTGAACAAGTACAATTTAGTCTTATTCTATTAAAAAGAAACAGTACTATAATTATTATAAGGCACAGTAACATAAATTAGAACTAAACATTTAGTCAGTCTCTGGATCCAAATCACTGGTACATGTAGATGTAAAAGGTGTAGCTGCACAAGGTACAGAAACTCTCTGCAGCAATTTCCTGATATCAGCCTGCTTACAGGCCTGCTGTCTTTTGAGCATAAAGTTCTTCTGAAAATTATATAGCTGCATTATTTCTTGAGATGAAAAAGAATGCTACTCAGCAAAGTTGATCAAAGTTGAAAGACCTGAACTTACATCCGCGCAGAAAGTTTTATCTTCAGGTTCTTCTTCCTCAGGTGGCAAAGACTTTTCTGGGTTGTAAACTTTTTCTATGATTTCAGCATCACTAGGGCTGTAGGTAACTTCTGCATTATTGTTCATGTTAGCCCATTCTTCGACTTCATCTTCTGTGAGATTCTTGAGTGGGTTGTTAGGCTCAGTTTGCTTCAAATTTTGATATCTGTATTTTCAGTCTTCCTTCTGACATTGAAGCCTTCAAAATTTTCTTCATCAGATGACCCCTCTGTGAATATAGAATTCAGCCATAATTTTCTCCAAGATCTCCTTAAAGTTTGACTCTTAACTGTATCCGATGCACAAGCATCATTAAGATGGCATATTTGATTGCATACTGGGATTGAAATTCCTTGATGCTGCCTCCTGGATCAACTGTTGCATGAAGTCTTTCTTGCAGATTAATTTAAGATTTTGAATAATTCCTTGATCCATTGGTTGTATGAGAGATGTTACATTGGGAGGAAGGAAGACAGTGAAAATATTTCCTGAAACCAAATCCGTTTCAGAAGGATGAACTCTGTAGTTGTCTAGAAGTAGGATGACTTTACTGTCTTCTGGCTTGTTTAATTTTCTTAAATTCTCTTTGACTGTAGGCACAAAGGCTTGATGGAACCAACTTGAGAAAATATCACAATCCATCCATGCATTATATTGTGTTTTGCATTCTATAGGCAAATGAATAACTCCTTTAAGGGTTCTAGGCTTAACGTATTTTACAATAACTAAAAGTTTGATTCTATGATTCCCAGAGGCATTAGCAAAAGTAAGAACAGTCAGGCAATCCTTATTCTGCTTGAATCCTGAAGCAGAAGACTCACCTTCACCAGCCAGAGCTGAAGTTGGCAAACAACATCACAAAAAGCCAGTTTCATCCGCATTATATATTTGATCTGCACTTAGTTCATTTTCAGAGACCAATTTCTTAAAAGATTCACAATAACTTTCGGCAGCTTCATGACCTGCCGATTCTTTTTCTCCAGACACATCCAATCTTCTGATGCCACGTCGAAGCTTAAAACACTGCAGCCACCCTTCAGAAAATGCACAAGGCTCAGTCAACTCCATTTGTTTATAAAAGTCCTTTGCTTTTTCAACCAGCACTGGCCCTGAAATTGGATGTCCTTCGGAACTTTTCAGTGCGAACCATTCATTCAACGCTTTGTCAAGCTGTTCCAATTTCAGTTTATGGCATTTTTCAAGTCCTTCCTTGGTCTCTGATTGTGCAAAAAATGTTAAAAGTTCGTCCTTTTGGGCCTTAATGTCATAAATTGTTGA